TGACTCAGTGGCAGTGGCTTTGGTTTGCTTTTTTTGTCCAGCTGTAGTTGTTCTATTGTTGAATAAAACTACTTTTCTTTCACTTTTAATAGAGTGCAAAATTTTCTTTGTTGATATATATATATCAATTTTGGGTACATACACATATGTAACTTGGTCGTACAATTTATATTCCTAAAATAATATATATGATACTACAAATAAAATTTTCTATAAAAGTGAATTGAGAAACTCTAAATAAATATAGATTGATACAAGCATATAAATAAGAAATTTCACTTTGTCAAAAATATATACAATTGAAATATTAAATAGAAAACAAATTGTTAGTATTCTTTCATGTGTCCATCTCAATATAAATAAATAAAGAATACAGCTATATATTTCACAATAAAAATATAGAAATATACCTGGCCAAGGAGAATTAACTGTATGCTTAACTTTAAAACCATTAAAACTCAAAAAAAGTTGAATTAAAACAATATTTTTCCAGCAACTGAAAAATAAATAATTTTAGGGGAGAGGTGACAATAAAACAATATATTGAACAAAATGAATTGAAAAACACATTCTTCATCCAATGCTACTGGGAAAGTTCTTGGTAATTTCTACTGAAAAATTTATCTGAAACCTCAAAATAATTTATTCCCATTTCCCCAGAGATTCACTGTGTAAAAATTCATGCTATGAAAATAATAAGAAATGTGCCCCAAAATATTTACATCTAAGAATAATTTTGTAGATTCATTTATGTTATCAAAATTTGGGAAATATTTCAGAAGTAAAAAAAAATAAGTTATTTACATTTAGTGTTATTATTATTTTATTCATAAAGTGAACTACTCTATAGGCATTAAACTTTGAATTTCTAAGGGTTTTTAATGACATGGAAAAATATTCCTTTAAATGAATGAATAAAAGTTCCTTAAATTAATATAGGGGTCCTAACAGGAGAAAGTGGCTATGCTAAGGTCTGAAGTAAAAATCTCCATTTTGAATCAAAGGTAACTTCTACATCAACAAGTACATCTTGTCATTTATGTGACTCTTCATTGTACCCTGAGAAAATTACTCGGTAAACAATTTTTGAAAAAAGTATCATTTTTTGTTTAAGGATACACTCTGTTCAAAAAACTGGGTTCAAAACAATTCTCAGAACATATGCTTACTCAAGATAAAACTTAAAATTATGAATATCCTCTCTGTGGTCAGACAAGGAGAGTATCATGATCATTTGGAGACCAGATACACTGGATTTTGTAACCATTACCTAAATGTCAAATAATCACGGAATTTGTATTGAAGTTCTTTGTATTTTCTTATAAAAACTCTCTGAAATGTCTCCTCTTCAGATCACTTAATTCCGAATCCTCTGGATCTTGTATTTCCTAATTTGTAATTCTTTTTTTTTTCTGTTCCTTCAATAAACTCTTCCTTTAATTTTAACAGACATTCCACTTTGGTCTTTGACAAGAAAAGGTAGTTTTAAAATACAATGTATTATAATGCCAAAATAGCAATTTTGAATACACATACATGCATATGGAACACATAAAAACAAAACAAAAACACTTAGATTACAAAAGGTTAACTGACATGGATAGAATAATTCTTTCAAACTCTATATTATGCCCAGATATATAAATTATAAAATCTCAACATTTATTGAATGTATGTATGTCTTAGTGGTAATTTCAAGAACAATGAGTAAGCAGTTTGAGATAGTGTGCAGGGTCATCTATTTTAAACAGGAGAGACAGTAAATAGCTATCTTGTTACTAAATTGTGAAATGAAATCTGAATGACAAGCCCTCAGGAACATGAGGATTTGTGGGAATAGAATCTCAGGAAAAGCAAAAAAAAAAAAAAAACAATCAAAGGTACTAACTTGGGATAAAACTTGCCATACCGGAGGAAGAAAAAGAAGGGCAATTTCCCTAACACACAGTGAAAAAAGTAGAGTAAGCTTGAACAAGAGCTAGTGGAGAAAGATTTGCATCCACGCCTAAGGCATTAGACTGCTAGCCAGTCACTCCTTGGAAGGAAGATTGGTCAATCTTCTTCCATAGAGACACCACTTCAGAAACCCAAGGAGGGGTCACTATGAATGGAATCAAAAGCAATTTGTAGGCAGTGAGTTTTTTTGTTTGTTTGTTTGTTTACAGTTGCAAAGAGAATTGACATATTTGTGTTTATAAAAGGATTGTTCTGGCAATTTTCTTTAGCAAATGAATAGTAAGGGAAAGAAAAGAAGACATGGGGAATAGTGGGATCAGATTGAAAGCTTTTAAAATGGTTCAGGTAGGTGGTGTTGTGTCTGCTTAGGGCAATGCTTCTCTGGAGGGGGGTGTGTATAAGTAGGGGGGTAATTTTTCCTACCAGGAGACATCAGAGAATGTCTGGAAATATTTTTGTCACAACTTGTGTGTGTGTGTATGGGGGGGTGGATTATTTTCAGTCACCTGTAGTAAACAGAAGCCTGGGAATTCTGTTGAACATAAAAAGCACAATACAGCCGCCACCCTGGCAACAAAGGGTTGTTGTTGTTGTTGTTATGTGCCCTCGAGTCAGCCCTGACTCATAGCGACCCCTCCTTGGGTTTCCAAGGCAGTATCACTACGGAAGTAGGATTGCCCAACCTTCCTTCCCAGGAGTGGCTGATGGGTTTGAACCGCCAGCCCTCTGGTAAGCAGTCAAGTGCCTTAGCCACTATGCTACCAGAGCCCAGCCCAAAATGTTAATAATGCTGAAGCTGAGGACACTGATTTTGGGGTGATATGAGTGGAAATGTTGAAAAATATAGACTGATATATTCCTGCAAAAAATATGTAATGAGCACCAATCCTCTTTTGAAAGCTACTTAGACTAGCCAGAAATGACATGAATAAGTCCATTTTAAATGTACAAAATTCTTGTGAAATATTTTGATACTTCATTAATCAGCAATTAATGTGAAGAAGTTTTGGTTTCTGTGTTAGATGTTATATATATATATATATATATA